CTGGTAAATATGCAGATTAAATCTGCTGATTTACCAAGATGCCAGTGGCTCATCCTTGTAACTTGACCAACTTAGGAAGCTGAGACATGGAAAATCACATTTTGGGCAGAAGTCCATGAGGTTCCATATCCAGTTAACCAGAAAAAAAAACAACCATGAGGCCTTGAGTTCAATCCCCTATTATAGCAAGAAGAGAAATACAGATTTAGAATTACCAAAATAATTACATAAGATTCCAATATTTTATACTTCTCTACTTTCATCATTTGGGGTATCAATTTAACAAGTATATCATTAGCCAACTAGTAACAAAGGAAAACAAATATAAACCCAGTACAATATTGTGAACTCTAGATGGTAGTATAAAAATATAATCTATTCTCAAGAACAATAGAATCTCATCAGAATGAAAAGTTAAGCCAGAAAAATCTGGAAAACATCATTCCATGCAGTAGAATTTCATGGAAGAAAATATCAAGGACAATGAATTACTTGAGTCAGACTTCACTAGAAAGAAGTCTTATCTGGGTCCTGAAGAATAAGATTTCCATACAAAGGTCTGGGAAGGTGGTTCAGTGTAGAGTGCATGCATGAAGCCCTGAGTTCAATTCCTCAGTGCCACATAAGCAGAAAAAACTGGAAGTGGCACTGTGGCTCCAGTGGTAGAGCACTAGCTTTGAGCTGAGGAGCTCAGGGACATCACCCAGGAGCAGAGTTCAGTCCCCACAACCGACAAAAAATATTCTTATAAGGAGAAAGAAAAAGAAGCCATTGAAGGAGTTGAAATCCAATGATATCATCAAGGTCAAGAAAGGAAAAATAGCTTGTCATAGAGGCTCTTGCCTATAATTCCAGCCAATGAAGAGGTAGAAAGACTCCAGGAAGACTACAGTTCAGAGAAAAAGTTAAAATTCCCCATCATAACACAACAAAGGAGCTACACATGGTGGAGGTGAGCATGCAGCCTCAGCTGTTCAGGAAGCAAAGGCAGGAGGATTGTGGTGATGCTCCAAGACTGGTGCAAGGCAAAAGTGAGGTCTTGTCTAAACATGAAGCTAACAGCAAACACAGGCTGGCAGTGTGTCTCAAGTGGTAGAGTGCTTGCCTAGCACGTGCAAGATCAAGAACTCAAACCCAAGGCCTGCCAAACATTAAAATTAAAGAAGAAAGCCTTCATAATATTTGGGTTAAACTATGGGAGGAAGGAGAAGGAGGGGAAAGGGTGGAGGAGGGAAAGGAAGAAGACTTACCTCGGTGGAACACAAGGTTATGTGCAGAATGGTAGAGAATGCAACCAAGGCTATGTATAGAGAAACTACATGTTAATCTTAGCCAGGCCAGGTGCTGATGGATGACTGCTATAATCCTAGCTACCCAAGAGGCAGAGATCTAGGATAGTGACTGATCCAAAGCCAGCACAGTCAGAAATATCCCTAAGACATTCATAAAAGCTCATAAAACTCATAAAAGCTGGAGGTGGTGCTGTGGCTCAAGTGGTAGTACCTTCAGCATAAAGAAGCTCAGGTCCAGAGTTCAAGCCACAGGAACTGCACCAAAAAAAAAGGCAAAAGTTACTTACCTCATTCTTAAAATACTGTCATCCTTCCACAAAACATCTCAAGAGGGGCACTCAATGTTCTAACACCAAATTGTAAACCTGAAAAGCTTTTTTGTTTAGTTTTCATTTCTGTTGTTATATTAGGGATAGGGATTGTCTTAAGCATGTAAGGCAAGCACTCTACCACTTGAGTCTGCTCTTTTGGATTTGGTGAATTTTTAGACAGTCTTAAATTTCTAGCTTGGATCGACAGAAGACTGCAATTCCGCTACCTGTACCTTTTGCATAGTATGGATTGCAGGTATGTTCTACCATGTTTGTTAAGATGGGAGTCTTTATGCCCCACCCGGTCTTGAGCAAAGATTCTTCAGATCTTCCCTTCCAAAGAATCTGGGATTACAGATGGAAGCCACCATACCTAACTACAGGATATATTTTTTTAAATGAGAATGCCAGCCTCAGGCCTTGAATACAGAGACTCAGCACTGTGTCTGAGCTTCTTTGTTCAAGGCTTTTAACCTATCCCTAGAGCCATGGCTCAACTTCTAGCTTCTGCTGGTTAGTTAGAGATAAGTCTCATAGACTTTCCTGCCTAAGCTTCACAACAACAAGCTCACCTCTAAGCCTCATGGGTAGCTAGGATTATGAGCATGAGCCACTGGTACCACCTAGAACATCACTCTGGTAGAATTTTAAAAGCAGTTGGGATGAAGCCTTTATGTGGGTATCCTACTTCCTTTCTTATCTATTCATAGTTGTAGCTAACATTTCAAACATTCATTCTTTACGTATTTATTTGTGCTAACCACTTCATGTACTATTGTTTATAATTTTCACCAGTGGAGTAAATATTTGATAGAGCTGAATGACTAAATCTATGTTTTCCAGGTTTGATAAGCTTCAGATGAGAAAGTTGAGGTAAAACGTTCTATTACTTAGAAAACCAGTAATGGAGATCACCAGTCAAGGTCTGCCCTAGGTCCTAAGCTTAGTACAAACTCCAGCTTTTGGGTCTCCTCCCACTCCTCTGTTCCTTGATCATCTCACTTCTTCCCCTCACATATTACTTTCTTTCAGCTTCATAAGAAAGCACACTTGAGCATTCCTGTGCTCCCTGTTCCAAATCAAAAAGCTCATTCAGCTCTGTATATCTCTCTGTATAAACTAAATTCTGGCAGGGAGGGAGGCTCAGTGCTTCATGACAGTGAATTAAAATTTTCTGTGATGGTATAATACATTTTAAAAACCTGGTGTATTTGTTAAACTAAGGACAATGGTGTAACCAGACAAACGCTGTATCTGGCGTTCTCTAAACTATCGTGAGCATCTAATCGGTGCTCACCAGGCAACGTGTCTGCAGTGAGCCATCCTGTGTGTGTTCCAGCTGCCAACTACACCATAAGAATAAGTAAGTCTTCCCAGAAGCTCCAACATGATTTTGACCATGCTGCTGATCGGACATCTAAGGAGGCTGGCTCTAAAGAAACATTTGGATTTAAAGCAGAACATTTTAAAATAGAAAATGGCACAAAGATCTTCATTACAATCAAAGGCAAGGAGGAATCTCATCTCATCTCAGAAGTTAAACGAGCAATTAGCTTCACTGCTCCACAAGATTCCAGCATCCCTGCTCTGGGCATCAATATTTCTGCAACCAGTTTGGCTATTTGGGGGTTGGCTATGATTTTATGTATAATTTAACCTAGAGAATGTATTACAAAGGAAATTATGATTTTGTCAGTAATTTAAACTAGAAAATATTTTAGAAAAGAAATTATGATTTTGTCTGTA